CTCTGGGTGATGATGGCGCAAGCTGGCTGCCCTGATGGGGGACAAGACTTGTCCAGAGTAAGTGAAATCATGGCTGTGCTGTGCCACCGCTCAGCTGAGGGAGTTCTGGCCTCAGCACCACCAGGAGAGGCTGGCAGCCTTGGAGGAAGCCAGGTAGGCTCCTCAGCAGAGGAGAGAGCAGGGAGGCACTCAGCCGAGGTGGGGCGAGTGGGCATAAGCAGAAGACAGACTTCTGGAATGTGAGCGAGGGGGTGTGTGTGGGGGGGGGGATTTACCATGGTGATGAGACTGTTGGAGGTGAAGTGGGGCAGCCCCTGGTGGGGCAGGGTTGAGCCCGGGCCTAGAGTCCAGGGCAGTCACAGCTGAGGAAGGGGCTGAGCAGTCTGAATTCACACTGAAACCCCAGCGCTCGGAATCACTTGAGGGGTTCCTGATTCAGTTGATTGAGATGTGATCTAGGAATGTGTGTTTAGGGGCTGTGACGCAGGTGGGCCAAACTTTGAGAAACACCATTCTATAGATGCCAGTCACTTTGGAGGATGGTCGCTCAAGCTTGGCTTCCCACACCTTCTGCATCCTTCTGCCTCCCAACCATGCTCAGGTCTCCGCTGCTGTGGTGCATTTGTCATGAAGTGTGGGTAAGGTGGGGGCAACAGGAGGAAAGGGAGAGCCCGTCAGGTCAGGTCGGGCAGGTGTAACTTGTTAGAATACTGCTTCTCGTTGGCAGTGGTCGTCACAGAAGAATCCCTTAGGGAACACTTGCAAGTCACTCTTCTTTCACCCCTTAGATTCTGATGTGCTTCTGAAACTTTCCCACTGAAAGCCACTAGGTCAGGAGATTGCTCTATGTGGTCCAGTCAGGTTCATGTGGGTTGTGTGGCTTGGGACACCGTGGGTCCTGGTTACGCTTTGCCAGGGCTGGGATAGTGGAAGCGCAGGTGGGCAGAGTCTAGGGCCTAACCTACCGCCGTTACTTAGCAAGGCTCGGGGGGATACTGTTGTTTCAGTACTTGGGGCTTCTGGAGTCAGCACAGACCATTCTTTCTTCAGGTCCAGTCAAGATGTAGGGTTGGCTCTCAGGGAGGGAGCGAAGGTGTGAGCAGGGCTGAGCTCCTGCTGAGTTTTGTGTTGGTGTTTTGGCCACTGTGTATGTAACAGTGTGTACGGGGTGTACACACAGCGTACACAGTGTGTACGCTCTCTTGGCCACTTAAAATCAACCTGCTTCCCCGCTAGCTTCCAGCTGGATGCCTATCCAGGGCTGGGGAGTTGTGAGAATCACCAGCTTCGGGCTACCGAGTGAGAATAATGCCAGTGACCCCTTATCTGTCCTTTATGTGGAAGGTGCCCTGGGCTCTCCCCATGGAGCAGCCTCTGCCTGTGAGGCTCCCCCTAGGGACCACACCCCACCTTTCCCTAAACCTGATGAGCTAAGGGCTAGGTCTTCTACAAATGTCTACTCTCTTGCTTTCCTTTCATTTGACCTTTGCAAAAGGCTTCCAAGTTGTAACCTGTAGAGCCTGGGGCTGGACTGTATGTAGCAAGAGCTTCCTTGGTATTAGGGCATTTCTTCCTCAGTCAGTCCTCCAGAAATGACATCCTCCTGGCTCACAAGTTTCTCATTAGCTGCTCCCAACTGGTGGTTTGCACTTCCCAGGACCTGGCCCTTCCTCTAACACAGGGGCCTGGCCCAGTTTACCCCGTATTTTAAGAGTTCTCCCCAAAGCTCCTACTGATTTCTATTTCTCTCTCCTCCTTAGAGTCACACTCCTGTGGAATTAAAGTCTCTTCTACATGGATTTATTTATCAGTTACCCTTCCTGATAGCAGAAGTATCCCCTGACTTTATCTGTTTATAAGCTTTTCCTACCCACTGTTGAAGAAAAGTAGTGTGTACTGGAGGGTGTTTATGCTTACAGAGTGTAGGTGATGGGGCCCTGTGCGCCTCTATGCCCCAGGGGCCCGTCCTTATTGGCATTTGAATGTATCTTTCTTACCTGCACTGGTCTGCCGTTTTTTTGCTTGCTAATTTCATTGGTGCAGTTGTATACACAACGTTCCATATCTTGATGCATATTATACAGGGGTGAATGATAAGCAAATGTGTCTTAAAATAACAGATCAGGGTGTTGGAGATTTGGAGAATCAGAGATCCAGTCTGTATACTTTGAAGGTGGTTAAGGAGCATACAGAGGAATCAAGCCAGTGGGTGCTATTATGCCTGGAATTCTTGGCTTTCTTGGCTCTAGTGCCTGCATCTGTAAGTACACTCCAGGGCTAGAGGATCAGCAAAGGGCCAGTTTCTTTTTGTGAGCTTTCTGCAGACTGCCCCAGTTAACCACGATGTTTCAGATTTTCTCTGTTCTTCAGACTTTCTAGTTGAAGAGTGGGTACCTGAAGCCACAGACTCTACTTTAAAGAAAGCATTCCTACCTTCTGCCCCCAGCAGGATTTGAATGCTTTCAGACCCGTGTGTATCAAAATGCTAGGCCTTTGCCCCAGGCCACGGAAGAACAATCTCATGAGCCACTGATCCAGGCCCACTTTAGGGTTGGGGCAGGGTGAGCCAAGCGCTTGAGTCAATCTGTTACTTCACAGGAGAGGTAACGTGACCACTGCATAATGGCCTTCGCCTCTGGTATTCTGCATGGGGTTGCCCAGCTCAGCCTTTGTCCCCCAGAAAGGCCCACTCCTCATCTCTGCATGGAGCACTGCAGCCAAGGACATGTGGTCTAAGACAGGTCAGGGGAGAGGTGCCTCCACCCGGTGGGAAGATGGGGGCGCCCTGGAGAATCATGTTGACTTAAACCAGTAGTTGTCCGCTCCTTGGTCCCCAACTCACAAGGCCCAGGTAAGGACAATTCCAGTCGTCCTGTGTACTGCCAGAGTGTACATGGTATACCTGGGCGTAAGAGCAAATACTGGTGGACGAGGGGAGAGGGTTCAGGCTCTCTTAACTCTGTGCGGATATGCATATTTAGAACTAAAGCCAACCTTCCCTGGCTGCAAACCCTTCAGATTCATATCACACCTCTAGTCATCCCATGCAGGTATTTGCCAAGCTTTCCTCTTTAAACCGTTTCCTCTTTTTCTCCGACTTTTTGTTTTCAACTTTTATATGCAAGCCACATTTCTAGAAAGCACAGAGTGAAAAAGTATTTTTCTTCTCATACACATGCTGCTAAGAAAATAGTCTCATATACAGAATCTCAACAGGAAGAGAGAAAATGATTGGGACCAAGTTGCACAGGGGGAGACGTTGAGAGTTGGGGGAAGGTGGTGGGTAGGAAGACCACGAATTGCTGGCCAGTTTCTCTCCCCACATTGACCTTACGGCAACTAATTCCACCCCAGAGGTGGAGTTTTTACATGTGACTGGGACAAGAAGTGAGATTGACTCACTAGATGAGGACCAGGGGTTGCTTCCCCTCCCCTCTTCTCCCTTCCCGTCTCTTCTGCCTGTAGGCAGTATTGCCGGCTGGGCTAGGAAATCATCGCAGGGCTGACTGGACTCGTGTGTGTGCTAAGCAGGTAATGATACCAGAAGTCTGAAGGGGGAGGCTGGAAGGGAACAGAGTGCCTGAAAGGAGAGGCCTGCAGGGTGGGGAAACACGGCAAGCTTTGCTTTGTTAACACAAAAATGAAGCCACCTGCTTCGTCCCCATGGCGCCTGAGCTGGTGACGTTAGCTCCCTCCTGATGCTTACACAGCATTTACCTCAGACGTGAGGGTTCCCTCTCGGTGCTCACTCCGCCTGCTTCCTTAGCAATGTCACCCTCCCAGAAACTGACCTCCAGCTTCATCCCCCCTGTGCCCACCCATCCTGTCAGCTGTCAGCTCTGACTCAACGGGGCCCTGACTGTTGGGGTGCCTTGGGGCAGGGGGTAACAAGAGAATCAGGAGTGCACAGATGGGGAACAAGAGCCCTGCAAAGGCAGAGATGGTTCAAGAAATGACCAGAAATGTGAAGGGGGCCCTAAAGAAGGAAACAAATTGTGGGAGATGTGAGCCACTTGAAAGGGGAGCGTGCCCTAGATCAGAAACCAAACTGACCCTCCACCCTGTTCCTCTTGGGACTGCCAAAACACTTCCAGCAATATTGGTTTTTCTATCTGCTGGGGAAGAGGGGGTGTTACCTGCCCTGATACTCAGTTGGGGGCCAGGGCTGTCTCTCCCCAGTCTCCAGGCTCTTCCCCCGACAGGTGGCCTGTCCCCAGGGCTGGGCTGGCCAGTGCCTGGCTGCTGTGCTTTCTTGCGCTCAGGGCATCGGCATCACACACCCACGCAAGGACTTAGGCCATTTGGTCTTCCAAAGATGAGGCGGTTTTAAAAGACCCTTAAAAATGGGGGGAGAAAGTGACACAAACAGGAAAGAAACACTTGTTTGATGGGAGAGTTTCAGGGTTTTTTTTGTTTTCTGTATTTTCCAAGTTTATGCTTTCTTTAGTTCATTCCTCTGGTCTCCATCTCTCTCCTTTGCGAATGTGCACGGCCTGCACTCGCTCTTGATTTTTTTTTTTTTTTTTTGGTTGTGTGTGTTTCAGTTTTTTAAAAGAACTTTGGATTTGCCGTTGGTGGGCAGCGCCAGTCCCGGGGGCTGGACCCCCACATGGCAGGGCTGGGACGGGGGCGGCCCACGGCTGCTGAGAGGATCTCTGTGTTTAAAGCCTTTGAGAATAAGTTACTGCAGTTCCCAGGGTGCAGGGTGGGGGTTGGCAGAGGGGTTCCTGCGGCGGCTTCCCCTCAAGTCCAGGCCGCAAAGGGCAGGGTGGGGGTGGGGTGGGAGAGCTGGGAGCGCTTCTCCCCATGCCAACCTCTAGTTTGGTTAGAGTTTTGTGGGCTCCCTGCCCATCCAGGCTCCAACCTTGGGAGCCAGCTGGGGATTTGGAAAGTCTGCGAGCAGTATGACGCTCTGGACAAGGGGGTGGGAAGGAGAAGGGGGTGGCAGTTTATTTTCCTTCCCCCTTCTTTGTCTTGGTTTTCTTTTTCCTTTCTTCGTCTTTTTTTTTTTTTTTTTTGGTGTTTTCTCAGTCAGTGAACAGCATGAGATAACGTGTTTGTGTGTGTGTGTGTCTGTGTTTACAGGAGTTGGGGGCTGACAGGGAAGTCAGCGGGGAGTCGTAGGAAGATGCAGCTGGGGGGCAGTTCATGTATGCTGGGTGGGGCGGGGGCAGGAGTGGGCAGTGGGCATGGCCAGGTGTGTGTCCGTGAAGGCGGGGCACGGGACAAGCCCCAAGGAGCTCTGGCAGAGATCTGTGTGTCTGGGGAGAGGGAGGAGGCAGGACTGCTGGAGGCCGGGTGTGAGGCCCACTGAGGGTGGGAACTGGAAGCTTCCCAGGAGGTGGGCGGAGCCAAGGTTGGGGTGAGGGATTTGAGCTCCCACCAGACACCCCTTAGGGTAAGAGAGGGAGCCCTGAGGCCCTCCCCTCCGCCTCCATCTTGGTTTATCTGTTTATAAAGCTAGAAGTGTAGAGGTAGTAGTAGTTTTTGGGTTGGAGTCCGAGTGAGGTAATCTTGCTTCCTCTTTGGCAAAAGCCACAGCGGCCGTGGCGGCCGTGGCGGCGTTGGTGATGGTGATGGGTGGGCCCCCGGGGGGTGGGGCCGCCTTGCGCCTGTGGGCCGAGGAGCGCAGGTGGGAGGCCAGGGCTTCGCGCCCACTCAGCAGCACCTCACATGCCAGGCAGTGGTAGGTGCAGATGGGCACCCGCAGTGGGGGGGGCATGGCGCCCCCAGAGCCCCTCCCAAAGAAGCAGAAGGATCTCTGGTGGGCCGTGGCCGGGGCCTCCCCGTCAAATGCCATCTTGCACTGGCGGCACAGGTAGCGGTGGGTCACGTCCACGGTGGAGATGCCAGTGCTGCCCGTCAGCAGCTCATCGGCCTCCACGGCCTCCCCTTCCCCTGAAGCAGGCAGTTCAGGAGGCTTTGGGGGTGCTGTGGCTGTGGGCTCAGGGGGCTGGGGCGGTGGCTGGAGAAGGGCATTGGGAAGCAGTCCGATGAGGGTCTGAGGTATCACGGGGTTCATGGGAAATAGCCCCTTCTTCATGCCATAGAGCTGTTGGAAGTAGGCCCCCTGTAACTGGGGGCCAAAGACAGCTGGCTGTGTGGCCCCCCCTGCAGGGGGCAACGGGAAAGGTAGAAATTGGCCCCCCAACAGGGCTGGGACAGTGGCCTTCAATGCTTTGAGGTTCTTGAGGGCATCAGTGGAGGGGGTGGCAGGGGCTGCAACTGGCTTTCGCTCACCAGAGACCTTGTCCCCGGAGGGCTCAGTAGGAGGGTCCGGGACAGGGTCAGTGGTGCCTGCAGTGGAGGTGTTGGTTTGATCTGGCACAGGTCTCTGAGGTAAGGGGCAGCCTGGGCCAGCAGTCTGGACCACTGTGGTAGCAGGCAGGACCGAAGTGGTGAGGCCCAGGAGGCCGGAGGAGGCTGCAGGGCCTAGGACGAAGAAGAGAGTGAGCAGGGGTGAGCCACGTGCAGCCACACTCCCCCGGTGCCCCGCCTAACCTGCAGGCTTCCTTCCCTCCCTTCTCTCCCAAGAGCCTGAAGCAAAGGCGGGAGGCGGAAGAGTCAAGAAGGAAAAGTAAGAGCATGTTACTAGGGGAGATGCGCTCACAGCCTCACCCCCCACTTACCTGAACTGAAAGGAGATAAGCTGCCCAGTGGCGGCTGGGCCAAGGCTGGGCCGGGCAAGAGGACCGGAGCCAGGCGAGGCAGGGCAGGAGCTGTCCCCAGGGGCATCGAGGCAGGTGTGGTAGCAGGTGGCGCCTTGGGAGCGAGGGGCGCCTCCGGGGCCGGGGCCGGGGCTGGGGCCGGGGCCGGGGCCAGGTCGTAGCACTTGCTTTCGCTCTTCAGCTGGGCGCGGACAGCCTCCTTGAGCTTGGCCAGGTGCTGGCGGGAAAAGAGATGGCCTCGGCAGGAGACATAGAAATCATACTTGACATCACAGTAGGGGCAGTCAGTGCGCTGGGCTCCCAGGGGGCCCTCACTGCTGCCCCCAGAACCCCCAACTGCTGCCCCCTGCAGTTTGGCCTTCTTCTCCTTGGCACGAGCATTCTGGAACCAGACCTGGATGACTCTTTTGGGCAGCCCAATCTCCTCTCCCAGCACCTCGCACTCCTGCATGGTTGGGGTGCGGTAGGCTTCATAGCAGGCTTTCATGATCTTCAGCTGCAGGCTGCTCATCTGGGTCCTATAGCGCCGCTGCCCCACTCCATCTGGAACCCCAGACCCACCTCCCGGTCCCCCACCAATCCCTCCAGCCCCAGGGGACTCTGGTTCAGCCAGGCTGGAAGCAGACGAATCGCTTAAGTCTCCTGCAGATGGACTGCAAGCCTCAGTCTCTGGAGAGGCTTTCGAGGGTTCCTCAGAACCCTCATCCTCACCGGGGGGAGGGGGAGGAGGGAGAGATAGCGGTGGCTCCAGGGTTGGGGTGGTGGCCTCTTTCCCAGGTGGTGGGAAAGGCAGAGGTGCAGTCCCAGGGGTGGCGGCAGGGGTGGCAGGGGTGGCCGCTGGGTAGGGGAAAGCAGCTGCTTCCCTCTTGGGGGCCTCCCGCCCAGCCCCCTCCTCTACCTTCCCCAGCAAGAGGTTGAACTTGGGGAAGGGTGCAGGGGTGGGTGTGGCTGGGGGCTTGACAGCCGGACCGGGCCCTCCCCCGGGGGTGCTTCGGAACTGACCTTTCCTCTCTCTGGCCCTGGTATTCTGGAACCAGACCTGCACCACTCGCTTTTTGAGCCCCACCTCCTCGGAGATGCAGTCCAGCATCTTGCGTGTGGGGTTGGAGTCCTGCATGTACCAGCGGTACAGCACCTCGAGCTGCTCGGGCAGGATGGTGGTGCGAAGGCGCTTGTCCCTAGGGGGCTCGCCCTCCCCTCCCCCCCCTGCTTCGCTGCCTGTGGGGGACAGGCTACCCTCCTCGTGCTTCCTTTTGAGGGGCGGCCCTGGCACGGGTGGAGTGCCTGCCACCAGGGGGTTTCGCTCCCCAAACACCAGCAAGGGCAGGTCTAGGAGGTGGGGGGCAGTGCCGGGCTGCACTGAAGGCAGGAAGTGTAGCCGGCGGTGACTGGTCAGGAGGTCCTGGCTGGGGAAAGATGAGGCGCACTGGTCACAGGTGTGCGTGGCGGAAGGCGAGGCGGGGGCCCTCCCTTCAGGCTCTTTGCCGCCTGGCTTGGAGGCCTCTGCTTGGCTGGGCTCTTCCCTGTCTGGAGGCTCTGGTGATGGAGCGCCAGGCCCTCCCGGGGGTTCTGGGCCCTGTTCTTCCTCCGCATCTTCCTCCTCAACCTCTTCCTCCTCGTCCCCTCGCTCGGCCTCTTCCTCTTCCTCTTCAGGAGGCTGGTCATCATAGCATTTCTTGAGGTGCCGCACCAACTCGAAAACACAGGAAAAGGTGGCATGGCAGCGCCTGCAGCCTGGAGTGCCCCCAGCAGCGCCCCCTGCAGTTGGTACAGGCCCACCCTCACTGGCATTTTTGCGTGCTTTCTGGCGGGCATTCTGGAACCACACCACCACCACACGACTAGCCAGGCCCAAGAGGCTCGCGAGCCGCTCCACCTCTCCGTCCTTGGGGTAGGCACTGGTTTCAAAGAAAGACTGCAGGGCTTGGGTCTGGAACTCTGTGAACTTGGTTCTGGAGAATCGCCGGCCTGCAGGCACTAGGGGAGTGAGGCTCCCTCTGGAGCTTTCTTCCTCCTCTGGGGGCCAGCGTCCTCCCGCCCGGCCTCGCTCCTCAGGGGCGTGGGAACCCCCAGCCTCGGGCTCTGAGACCAGGAAGGGGGGGCCCAGTTGGGGAGCAGGTGACTCCAGAATCCCATCAGGAGGCTTGGGCGGCTCTGCAGGGGGTGGGTATAGGCTGTCGTAGCTCTTTCGAAACTGAGCGGCGTACCGACTGAGGGCCTCAAAGGGCAGAAAGCGACGGTGGACGTGCTCCTCGTGGGTCTTAAGGATGAGCATGTTGGAGAAGAGCTTTCCACAGGCCCCACAGGCCAGCTTGTCCCCACCCCCCAGAGCCTCTGGTGGGGGTGGCGTTGGGGGAGGGGGCGCAGCCTGCTTCCCTTCATTGTACTGAATCACCAGCTCAAAGCCAAAGTTTTCTAGAAGGGCTTTGGCTGCAGTGCGGGCCGCCTCGTTGGGCGTCGGGTGAGGCGGGGAGGTGGGGCCTGCCTCATTCCCCTCTTCCATCATGGGGGGCTCCCACTCCCGCTCAGCCAGCTCAGACTTAGGGGGTTGGGGTGGGGGAGGAGGGGCGGCAGCTGGCAGGGACAGCAGGGGCGCAGGCCCAGCCAGTGCCAGCTTGGGCCCCACCTTGAGGTCATGGAGGTAGAAGGGCAGGAGCAGCTGCTGCTGCTGGAGCTTAAGCAGGGACTCGGGCACCAGAGGGAAGGGCGGCAGGACTGGTGGGGTGAAGAGGGGGGCTGGAAATCGGTGCAAGTCCAAGGGAGGCGGGGGAGGGGACAGGAAGGGCAATCCAGATATGAAGCCCCCGGGGTCAGGGCCCTTCTTCTCTGGGCCCACCTCCCCCTCGGCCTCGCCCTCCTTGGGGTCTTCTTGGCTTCGCTCCGGCCCCTCGGCTTTGGCATCGGCCTTGGCGCCCCGCGAGCGAGTCTGGTGCAGGACAGAGCGCATGTGGATCTCCAAGGTGGAGCTCTGGTTGTAGGAGACGCGGCAGACGGTGCACTTAAAGGGCTTGTCGGTGGCGGCCGGGGCGGCGGGGGCAGCGCCAGCCTCTCCCCGGGCGGGGCCGGAGGGGTCAATGGCGGCCTTCTTCATCTTGTGCAGGTGGGAGACGGAGTTGTAGTGGACCAGGAGGATGTTCTTCTGTGTGAACGACTCTTTGCACACAGTGCACTTGTAGGGCCGGGCTGGGTCGAGAAACTTGTCCAGGGCGAAGTTGGTGGTCTTCCGATAGGTGAGGGGGTGGCGAGGGTCGGCTGGGGCTGGCTCTGCGGGGCGGGGCTCCCCGACGTGTCCCTCTTCCTCTTCAGCCATGGCTGGGGGCGGAGCCATCTCTTCAGGTTGGGCCTCAGGCCGAGAGGCTGGAGATGGGACTGGAGAAGGAGGTTGGTTGGGGCTTCCCGTGGGTTTATCAGAGGCCTCCGCTGAGGACGGGGGAGGCTCAGGAAGAGGACTGGGACTGGCTTCTGGGGTCGGGTGAGCGCCTTCTAGGGGAGAAAGAAGGGGTGTGATGAAGAGAGCTTTTCCAGAGGCAGACCCCCCCCCCCCAACAGCTAGGCTGACCCTAGCCTTAGTCAGGCCTTCCCGGTCCTTGAAGCTCAGGCCCTTTCCTGCCACGTTGGGAGGTTCGTCGCCCCCTTCCATACCTGCTGCCTGATCTCTGCTGGGTGCAGGCTCTGACTGGGGCGTGGGAGGCTCCGGGCTGTCCCCCAGAAGGCTTAGGCTGGGCGCCGGCAGCACTTTGGTCGTGAAGGTCATCTCTACAGTTGTGGCCTGTTAGGAAGAAGTCCCAGTGACTTCCGAGCCACTGCCTGGCTCCTTTGGTCCCAGCTTCCTCTGACAAACCTGGCACTGAACCGCATTCCCCCCGGGGAGAGGGCCTGTCCCTGCTGCTGAACAGCCCGTCTCAGGACCTGACTGAGTGAGAAAGGCATGCCCACCGGCGAGGGGAGGCGCCGACGGGCTCCACCGTGAGGTTCCCTCCAACCCCGAAATCTACCTTCAAGTCTGAAATAGGGCCTCCTTCACCAAAACCCTCCTCCCCATACCCGCGCTTGCCAGGATGTCCCTGCCCTCCCTCCCCTCCTGCCTGGCCAGCAGGGCCCCCCAGACGGGTGTGCACCAGCCTGTACTCACCACCAGCAGCAGCTTCTCAACACACTCGGGCACCACGTTGTGGAGGTGGCTGAGATGGAAGTGCAGGGCAGGCCGGCCCACCAGCTGCTCCTGGCACAGCGGGCACCTGTACTTGGGCTGCACTGCATGCTGGGAGACTGTGTGAGCCCTCACCTGGCCAGACTCTGGGCTCAGGAAGCTGCAGTACGGACAGCAGTACACCTGGGGGCACACGTGGATGGTGGAGGAGGTGTCAGAGGGAAGGGGCCCTCCACCATTCCAGTTTTGGGCTCCTGGATGCTATGCGCCCCCCCACTCCCAATTTGGGAGCACAAGCCTGACAGGAAAGGATCACCACCCATGGACCCCATCATAATCTGAAAGCTAGAGCCTCCCTGGTTTCCCCTGGACTGGGACTAAGGCCTAGCCGCACCGCCTGCACTGTCCGGCCTGCTCCCTCCATTCTGGCCTCTCTGCTGCCCAGTCCAGCCCAGCCCAGCCCAGCTGACAGGATGGCTCTGTATCTGCCACCACTAGATTTAATTTTCTTTTCTCTTCCTGCCCCCACCCTGCCTGCGTACGTCCTCTGTGAGGTGGCTCGCACTGCCTCTGGCAGGCTCTGGGCCCACAGGTTTTCATCACTACCCACTGCCTTACCCAGATACCCCTGGGAATTAAGTGTCCCTGAGGAGGGCCCTCCCTACCTGTCTGCTTAGATGCTGCTCATCTTCCCTCAGAGGCTCTGCAGCTCCCACTTATTTTCCTTCCTTTACTCCCTTCCCTTCTTAAAGTAAACAAACGCCACAGCTCCCCCAGCGGCTCAGGAAAGAGCTGGCCAGGCTGGCACATCCCCACCCTCACCCCCCGGGGTGGAGCAGCCCAGGATGGCCCCAGTCACCTGACCCCGGCCTTTTTAGTCTCCCTTTTCCCTTCCTTTCCTGCCCCCTGCCTGACTGGTCCAGACCTGAAGGACCAGATGGGGACCCTCAAGGGTCCTTGATGGCCATCAAGGATAGGGTGCCAGAAGTTCACCTTATACCCCCGAGGGCAGATGATTGGGAACTGGTCTGTGGGAGGGGACAGGAGTTTGGAATAAAGGAAACCCAAATGGAAGCCACTGCACCATAATAAATACTGCACAGCGAGGTCCATTTGGGGAGCTCTGAGGTGCAGGATGGCAGGGAGGGGATGCCCTGAGAGTCAACACTTTCAGAGCACGGAGCTCAGTTCCTCCAGGGTCCTGCTAAGTCAGACAGAAGCCGAGTCCTGGAGGCTTCAGGATGTATCTGGGTGGATCATCTGGGTCGGTGATGCTCCCCTCAGGGAGGAAGTGCCAAGACAGTTGCACCCAGGTGGAGGCTTTTCTGTAGACAAACATCCCTGTCTAGTTGTCTTTCTGCTCCTAACAAAATAAAGAGCTGGGCAGCAGCTAACTTTTTGTTTTTGCCTTTCTCATTCCTTCATTTGTTTTTTCTCCTCCCACAGTCACCACCACCTCCCTGGCCCCCCACCACTTCCCGGCACACACACTCCCCTATATCCAATCTTTCCTACTCTCAGTACAGTTTTCTCCTCAAATGCCTTTCCCTCAAGTCCCTGCCCGCCCTTCCTGTCACCTCCCTGTGCTCAGGCCTCAGGCCCAGCTCTACTCCTGGGTAGTGTATGTACCTGGACCTAGGTGGGATTTCTTAAAGATCAAGGGCACAAGCCGACATGCTGAGGGCTGCCATCAGTCTGAGCTCAGTGCTGTAAAGTTGTACTGGTTAAATTATGGGCAGATCTCAGCAAAACTAGACCCCCTCAGCTCTTCCCAGGTACCCCAGTTCTGACCGTGGTCTGGATGGCACTGTCTCCAGGAGGACCCATCTTGTCTTCTGCCTCTTCAGAAGCTGAAGAGAAAGGAGAGGGGAATAAGCGACTCTGACAGCCCTCCCGCGCCCCTCCACAAACCGTCCTGGTCCTTAGGATGACCCGATTTGTAGCTGGCAGCTTCCAAGCTAGGGGTTGGGTTCTGGAGAGGGGGGGAAAGCAGAGCAATACTCTGTGCAGGGGTGAGGCCCAGTAAGGCTCAGCAGGGTTGTCAGGAGCGGTAGGTTTGGACCTCGGGACAGAAGCACCCAGGCCTCAGTGGCTCCGCCTCCCTTCCCTCTGAGGGGCCCTTTCTCCCACGAGTTTGGGCATTTCAGAATGTGTGATGACTGGGGGGGGGGGGGCCGCGGGGGGCGCGCAAGGGAGGGAGGGAAAATAGACCAGATGAGCAACTTACCCAATTGTTCTGTCTTGTTCTGAGCATCTTTTTCAGGGGTGGGCGGCTCTACTAAGGGGGTGACAGGAACCTTCCCTGTGTAGAATGAGAAGAGAGTAGGCTTAAAAGGATGAAGCATCAGGAAAGAAAGGACCCAGGCAAGCAGCCAGGCAAGAAGATGGATAGATGAGTCGACAAACAGGCGAGGACAAAAAGCCACTGAAAACAGATGCAGAGGAGGTGGGGAATTACGGCATTAGCACTGTCAGGGGCCTAGGACAGCATCCCGCGGCCTGGCCCGGCATTTACAGATGAAGGAAGCAGCAGACCACAGAAGCAGGACTAACTCAGCTCTCGGTCTTGACTTATCCAAGGAAGCAGGGAGCCCCAGAAGTGCAGGGAGCTGAAGGGGGAAGGCGAGCAGGAGGCGCAGGCTTCGCTGGGAGAGGAGATTACCACTCAAGTAAGAATTGACAGATGTGTAGGAATTTATTTTCGGTGGCGGCCTAATTAAAGTGTTAAAGTTCCTTAACTCCATTCAGCCCTGCGCCAGGATCGTTAGCTATTGATCCGGGCCCCTCCGGCACTTAACTCCAGCCAGCATATTGGCAATTCAATTAGCACCAGTCAATGCTGCCTGTTCCTGGCTCTTGCTGCCCGTGCCTCGCCCTCGCCCACTGCTGGCCTCTACAAAGCCAGGGCGCCCGTGCCCACCTCTGACAGCCCCTTCCAGGCTCTTCTGCATTTTCTGGGTCACTGGTGCCTGTTCCCAGGCTCTGCTGGTACAACCTCAACTGCCTAAGGGGGCCCTAAGCCCAGCCTTCAGGCTGAAGGCCTCCTAGGAGACAGAACAGGCTGGGCGCTTCTCATCCCGGCCGCCTCGGGCCAGGCCCACAGATCCTGTCTCCCCCCAGCACGGCCTGGCCCAATATGAAAGCGATTCAGTGTTTCTGGCTCACTGGTCTCTGCTCAGATGACTTGCTCGCATCCCTGTCCCCTGTCCTCCACATCCTGCTGACGCCACAGACACAGTTCTTACTTGTATGAAAGTCACCAGACTGGGGCCTCCCTGTTGGTATACGGTGTTAAGGCTGAGCACTTGACGGTCACCACAGCACGAGCTCCATGGCTGGCCAGGGAGCTGACCCACATGGCGCGGCAGACCTCTCCTGACCCGCCCGCTGCCCCCCTCAGCAGTGTGCTTCCTGGACCTGCCTGTTCTGGTCCCTGCTTTGTCTCAGGTGAATCCCATCACCTCCCCCCATCTCTGGCCTGCACCCCGCTCTAGTATGCATAGATAAATATTTTTTTAAAAAGTCACCAGCCTGGCCCTCCCTGGTGGCACAGCGGGGTAAAGCACTGCACTGAGAAGCTAAAGCCGCTTCCGCATGAGTTCGATCCCCGCCTGCCCCGGAGGAGACCACATGGCTCGGCAGACCTCTCCTGACCCGCCCGCTGCTCCCCTCAGCAGTGTACTTCGTCGATCTGCCTGTTCTGTTCCCCACTCTGTCTCTGGTGAATCCTCTCACCCTCCGCATCTCTGGCCTGTACCCCAGTTCTGTATGAATAAATAAATCTTAAAAAAAAAAAAAGTCACCAACAAATAAACTATTATTTAAAAAAAAAAAGTCCGCAGCCCCCATCTCCCCTCACCGCTGCCCTCCCGGCCCAGCCCTTCCTCTCTGTCCCATCTCCTCACCGGAGGTCCTGAGCTGCCCGTGGCTGAAGCTCAGGATGCTCTGGAGGGCCGAGAGCCCTTCCTCGGCGGCCGGGCCACTCTGCAGCAGCTGCAGCCTCCGCTGGGCCTGGGCGTCGCGGTGGGCGGGCGCCCGCAGGTGCTGCAGCACAGCCAGGCGGGAGGGCGTCTCCCAGGCACACAGCAGGCAGCGGAAGAGGCCCAGCTCGGGGCCCGCCGGCGCCCCCTCCATCTCCAGCAGAAACTGGAAGCACAGAGGCTGTCAGGCGGAGAGGAATGCACGCCTCCAGGTTTGGGGGTCCCTCTGCCTCCCGTAATGGGACTGACCAGCAGCACCCCTCCCTCCGACCCTCCCACCCTCCTGCGGCGCCTCCGTGCTGTGGCCGCCTGAGTATCACTGCCTTTGCTTCCCCCGATGGCCTCGTTTCCCACCGATCCTGCACTGCTTGGTACAGGGATGGAGTCTGGCTCCATCCTCTTGAATGTCTACTGACAAAATGAACTGACTGGGCCATGGCCGGTCCCTCCGGCCTGAAGCCAGGAAAGGACTGGACGGGCTCTGTCGGAGTCCGCCATCCGCTGGCCTCCCTCCTGGTCCGACTCCAAAGAGTGGCTCTCCAGCCCTGCCGCCGTCTCCCCGACACTTCCCCACGTGGCCCCCCCGGCCCCAGCGTCCTCCTCGCCCGCCAGGCTCTGCACACCCTCCTGCCCTGCCTCACCTTGTAGATCTGGCTGTTTTCCTCATGGGCTGCACCGCGGGTGTGCAGCTGCATCTTCTCCTTGCTGTTGGACTCAAAGTCACAGATGTTGCACCGCAGGTGCAGGGGGGGCACAGACCCATAAGGGCCCCCCTCTCCAAGGGGCGCAGGGGAGGGGGCGCCCACGGCCCCGCCCCCCTCCCGCAGGTGGGCTGCCAGCTGGTACTTCTGGGCGTGCTTGTCGGTCTTGAGGTGCAGCTGGAAGTTGGCCTTGAGCTGGGTGCCGTAGCAGCAGAGCTTGCAGCGGTGCGTGTCCCCGGCCACCTCCTTCCACTCGGCCTCTGGGAGGCTCCGGCCCACGCTGCAGTGGTAGAGCAGCAGCTCCAGGTTGTCTGTGCCGAAGGCCTGGCACACGAGGCAGCGGAAGACCTTCAGGGGCGAGCTGTCATCCGGGGGCGGTGAGGCGGGCAGGCCGTCGGGCAAGGAGCCCAAGAGCTGACTCGGAGGCAGGTGGGCGTCCGGGGAGAGGCTGCCAGGGGCTAGGGGGCAGAGACACAGGGAGCGGTGGGTTAAATTGCTTTCAGACCCTCAGCACGAAAGAGGAAAATAAAACCCTGCGCTTTTCTCTGAGACCTGCTTTTACAGACAGCAGAGCCTGGAGGCTTACTGACTAGACTTGAGCTGAGCTCCTAGGCCAAAAGGACTGCAAACACAGGGGAGGGGGTACCTGGAGGCCAGGGGCCCACCGAGAAACCCAGAGCCAGGCTTCCTGCTGGTGCAGGGGGAGCTCTCAGCACTATGAAGCTCTCTGCGGCCGCTGCAGCAGGAGTTTGATCCCCGGCCCGGGAGCTGACCCACACGGCGCGGCAGACCTCTCCTGACCGGCCCGCTGCTCCCCTCAGCAGTGTGTTTCAGTCCATCCGCCTGTTCTGCTCCCCGCTCTGTTTCTGGTGAAGCCTCTCACCTCCCGTACCTCTGGCCTACACCCCAGTTGTATGCACCATAAAAATAAATAAGAAATCCAGGATTCCAGTTAGCTGAGGGGAAGCCTCTTCATACTTCTCACTGAACTGCCCTGCAACTAGCTAGCAAAGTTCAGCCAAGTTTACATTTCTTTGCCCCTGGATCCTTAGCCAATAAGTTTTTAAAAAAAATTTTAAAGGAAAGGATCTTTAATACAATGAGTGTGCAATACAGAAAAGACAAAGAATATAGTTTCTAAATCAAACACCCAAAGTTCCCTGTCCCCTCGTGGTAAAAGCCCACCCAAAAGGGACTGGCCCAAAGCAAGGCCTGACAGCCGCCACAAGTCTAAAGCACCTTCTGGCCGGGACCCATGGAAAAGGGTCAGGGTCAGACGTGGCCAGACGAGGCCAATAAAATTTAACCTCTCTGTCCTCCAGCCATCCTCCCAAACCTATATAACCTCACTCCCTTTCTTAATTGCGGAGGCAGATTTGAGTTTATCTCCTGTCTCCTTGCCAACTGATCTGTAATAAAGCCTTTTCTCTCTTCTCCAAACCCTGACATCATGTGTTTCTGTGTGCGGTGGGGGATGGGGGGGCGAGCCCAAGTGCTGGGTAGTACATGGGCAGGGCCAAACTTTGGGGGCCCAAAAGGGGGAGCTGGGGCTACCTGAGCGGGGAGGGGCATGGCCTTTGGGAGAAGGCAGGAACTTGGAATTTGCTCCAGGGCTGGGGTGGGGGGTGGGGGCGATGGGGAAAGAGGCAGGACCCAGAGAACTTACCTGGTGTGGGGAATTTGCGGGCAGGCGCCCCAAGGTGGTGGAAACCGTTGAGAAGCAGCTGGGGGTCCAGGGGCTTGTCTGGCCTCAGCCCAGGGCTGGGCAAGGGCGCCTGAGGCTGCCCCAGGGCCTGCGGGCCGAAGTACTGGAAGAGCTCAGGCGGGGTGGCGGGGGCAGCCCCCGCGGGGGGCGGGGGGCCGGGCCCCACTAGCCCAGGGGGCAGGCCGAGGGGCAGCCCCTGGTGCAGCATGAGGACGTTCTGCATGTGCTTCTCGGAGGTCATGTGGATGCGCAGGTTGCGAGAGATGTTGGTCTCGTAGCTGCACACCTTGCACTGCCAGGACGATTTGGTCTTGGGCTCCTTGTCCCCCGCGGGGGGCGGGAGGGCTGCCTCTGGGGGACTCCCCTGCCCGCCCGGCGCGGCCTGGAAGCCCTGCAGGTTGGCCAGGTGCTTGTCAGACTGCATGTGGATGCTGAGGTTGCCCTTGGTGGTGGTGGAGTAGTTGCACACGTCGCAGCGGTAGGGCTTGTAGCCGCAGTTGTAGCTCTCCCCGCGGGCCAGGCGAGGGTGGGCGCCCCCAGCGCTGCAGTAGCTGCAGTGACTGTTGCTCTCCGGGTGCTTCTCCCGCATGTGCACGTCCAGGGTCTGCTGGTACTTGTAGTGCCAGTTGCACTTGGGACACTTGAGCGTCTTGCAGGAGTTGCGGGAGTGGAGCAGAGACATGTGGCTGGACAGGCTGAGGCCCTGGAAGGCTGCCGGGGCTGGGGTGTAGTCGTCGGCCGGGCGGTAGGACTGAGGTGGGTCGCTGGGGTCTTCAGGGGAGCTCCCTGGGGCGAGGAGGGTGCCCCCCTCCTTGGAGGCAGGTGAGCTTTGGTTGAGTGGGGGGCAGAGCCCTCCATCCTCTTCTTGCCCCTCGGGGAACCAATCAGGCCCGGCCTCACCTGCCGCCATTGGCATTTCTTTGGCTTGGGTTGGGCTGGGGTCCCAGGTGGCTGGGGTTGGGGGCGGGGAGGGTGGGCTGAGGGCAATGACTTCTTCCGTGGGCAGGACGAGGGCCTGGGCCTCAGCCTCAGGCGCGCAGTCCTCGGTCTGGACTACGTTAGCCTCCCTGCTCACTGTGATGCTGTTGTCAGAGGGCATTTCCAAAAGGGGGTGAGTGGGCAATTTTGGTTCCAGAAAGCGTAGGAGGGCCGTGCAGCCCTCACCCCCCTCCTGGAGCACAGCGGGGTTGCCCAGCACACCCTGGTGCTGAGCAGGGCTGAGCTTCACCCCGTGAGACTGTACGTGACCCGCAAAGGCCTGCGGCCTGCTGAAACCCAGGCGGCACAGGAGGCACAGCCAGAAGGGTGCCCTGTGGTCACGCCCCCTGCTCCCCGTGGGGCCATCTTTGGGATCTCCAGGTGGGTTTGGAGCCAGCTGGTAGCTCCAGAAGGCTCCATCTCTTTCCTCACAGGCGGCCAGAGATGGCGCTGAGGTATCGTGGGACAGAATTTGGTCAGAAGAGCTAAAGCCTTGGATTGGGTCAAAGCCATGTTGGATATGAAGGGTGGTGAGGTGTGCATGGGGTGGGTGGGCAAGGAGGGGCGGGCTGGGCTCTCCCTTGCCCGCCTCCCCCCAGGGGAAGCCCTTTGGTAACAGGAGTTCACCGCCACCTGGCAGGGACAGTGCGGCCACCAGGCAGGCCTCACCGCCAGCTGTGAAGAATAAGTGGTTGCTCAGGTCCACGGGAGGAAGCCCTCCTCGTCCCTCCTCCTCGGCCTTGTCTTCTGCCCCCAGGTCCTTTGGCAAGAAGCCACCACAGTCAGGCTCTTGTCGGGGCTCCCCAATCTCCTTTGGTGGGACGAGGTCACAGCCCGACTCCAGGGGCTGTCCCCCTGGCTCTGAGGGCCTCATGCTCTCAGAGGAGGAGGGGGCAGCAGGGGGATCTTTGGTGACAGGATCAAAGGGGGTGTCGAGGGAGGAGGTGTCCGGAGGTGGGGACGGGACATTGTGCCCAGGGGAGGGGGTGGTGCCAGCAGTAGAGGATGAGTTAAGGGTGGCCATGGTAGACGGAAGCGCGCTGGGGGTTCATTTCAGCGTGGTAGCCAGTACTCTGTGGGGAGACGGAGAGAGGGGGGCTGTGAGACTGCAGGGAGACGCAGCCAGGTAGCTGAATGTCAGATACCCCATCCCACCCTCTTCCCTTAGCACGGGCCTCAGATACCCATTTGCCAACCGTCTTCAAAATCAGTATGCCCTAACCAGGACTATTTCTCCCTTGCCCTTCCCTTTCTTTCCTGCCTCAACAACTAGAACCATCATTTTCTGGTTGCTAAGCTAATAACCCAAGTTTCCTCTTGCCCTCATCCACATGCAAACTGACCACAACCTCTCAAAAGTGTCACTTTCTTCCACTTATCTCCAGTTCCACTAGCCCCATTCTGGACCAAGCCATTAACATGATGGCCCTGTGCCTCCCTGGTGGCACAAGGGGTTAAGTTTCAGCAATATGAAGCTACCTCAGCCACTGCAGCATGAGGTAGATCCCCGGCCAGGGAGCTGACCCACACGGCGCAACAGACCTCTCCTGACCTGACACTGCTCCCCTCAGCAGTATGTTTCAGTAGATCTGCTTATTCTGCTCCCCACACTGTCTCTGGTGAATCCTCTCCCCCCACATCTCTGGTCTGTACCTCAGTTCTTGTATGCATAAATAAACGAATCTTAAAAAAAGATGGCCTGAAGGAACTCAGCGAACTCTACCTTGGGCTGGTTCTACCACCACCTGACAATCCAGTCTTCTTCCACCCAGCAGCTAGAACCTTCTTTCCTTTACTTTGCAATTATGGAAAATGTCTAACATATGAGTAGTATATATATATATATATATATATATATATATGTATTTGCACAGAAGAACTGGGATACAAGCCAGAAGTGTGGGGGTAGGGGTGAGAAGATTCACCAGAGACAGAGTGGGAGCAGAACAGGCAGATCCACTGAAATACACTGCTGAGGGGAGCAGCGGGCGGGTCAGAAGAGATCTGCTGTGCCATGTGGGTCAGCTCCCTGGCAGGGGATCGAACTGAAGCCACAGCGATGCCACAGTGACAGCCCTGAGACTCAACCCCCTTTTCCTATACTGTCTTAAGCAAATGTAAGTAATCGTCAAGACTCCTCTTTCCAACCTGTGAAGCATACTATATTCTGCTTAAAACTGATTTTGTACTCCACTGTGATTAAAAGCCAAGCTCCCCTTTGTGCCTACCCAGGGAAGCTTAAAACAAAAAGTCCAAACTCCTTTCTTTCATCTACAAAAGCTCTTGTCCTGCCCATGCCTGCTTATTTCTGACACTATACTCCACCCTGCCTGGCTGGCCAGCTGGTCTTGCTTCTGTCCCTCCCCCAGACAGATTTCACTCTACCCTAGGGCCTTGCCTAAGCTGCAAGCCGGGAATGTTCTTCCTCACTGCAACCACCCCCAACACACAACTTCTGCGTAGGCATCATTCAGGTTCCTGCTTAAATATCATCCTTCCAACAGGCCTTCCCTCTCCAGACAAGCTAAAACAGGCTGGGATGGGAGTTGGGAGGGGGGGCTTTCTTAGAGATTTAGCAGTACCAGATGTCTCCCTGGTTTACTGTTTCTCCCTTCTAGAAAGTAAGTTCCAGGAAAGCGGGAATTCTTATTGATTGCCCAGTCACTAGCAGAAAGGCGCCCAGCACTGGTCAGTGCAAGTCTGTGGAAGGAAAGCACTCCAGGAAAGGCCCCAGGTTCCCATAAATAACCCAAAGAGGTTACTGCCCTCAATCAAGGTCTTCTTGCCAGGGAAAACCACACTGTGTGCCCTGGATCTGCAGGTGCGTCTCTGGTGACAAATGTGTGGAATAGGGAACTTCTCTCACCAGTCGAAAGGCAACAGCTGGTGTGCGATTAGCCGCCTCTTCCCCAGAGATAAAGAATAGGAGCAGTAATAAGGTTACTAATCGCTACCAAGGCACACACACGCCATGGCTCTGGCGCTGTACGCCATGCTTTATGTCAGTTATAGCTCACAGCGACGTCGCAGATGAGGCAGCAAAAACCAGAGAGGTTGAGTGAGCTGCTTGATGGCACACAGCTCCAAACTAGAAAAGAACTGGCCGGGTATGCATTTATACCCCAATGCTGTGGCCTGGCTCCTCCTTCCAGCTGGACTGTCCCTGAGGCACAGTTCAGGCAAAAAGCACCTCAAAGATCTAGAAACCAGGACCCTCCAGCTGACTGGAAGCCTCCCATCTGCCCCCAACCTTTTTATCTTGACCCCACAAGCTCTCCACCACCTCATCATCCCACTCTCCTCCCAGAGTCACAAGTGGCCTGCATTCTCACCAATTGTTGATAATTAACTCTCTGGCACTCGGGCCAGAGTGCTTCTGGGCAGGGGTGAGGGGATAGCCTATCCTTCCCTGGGCTGCCTTTGACCCTCACCTTGAGATTCCTAGATTTGGAGCGGGTCCCCAGTCAAGCCCCACCCAGCCTGCAGGCCCCCATTCCCACCTCCCTCCTCCTAGTGGGGGGCTAGCCAGGCGTGAAGTCAGAGCCATTAAGGAGCTCCTCAAGGGGCTGGACCAGCATGTTAATGAAAATGCAAATTAGCACCTGGGCAAGGAGTAGCAGGAACCGAGGTGGGGGGGGGGGTAGTTTAAGGGAAGTAAAGGAATTAGATGGAGGAGAGCCGGCCCGAGATAACCAGGACGGGGAAGCCCTGACGCCGTGGGGAAAGGCACTCCTCCGATGGAATCCTGGGTGGGGATGGGGGAAAAGGGGTCAAGAGCCCTGGGTTTGCTGCAGCCTGACATTTCACGTTCATGCCCCTACGCCCCTGCAAACCAGCCAGTGGGGTCCACTGACCTTTCACTGCCCCACCTGGTGGAAAGTTTGAGGCGGAGCAAAGCACCCGCTCGGGGCCCTGTCGCTGAGGGCTGCTCATCCTGCCTACGTCACCTCTACCAGCGCCTCCTCTCAGGCTCCGGACTCACAACTCTAGATCAGGCTTTAGGAGAAGGCCAGAAAGACCCAAATCCCAAATCATCTATCCAAAGCTGCTACTTCCAGGAAAAAGACACCGCTGACTCCCAGCAGCAAACCAAGAGAGCTTAGCTTTGGGGTAGCTTGCAGGGAAGACCCAGAAAGGGCTCAGGGCAGGTTGGCAGCTGTTTGAAATTGCAAATCTCTTCCCCACCTCCCAACCTGCCCCTCCTCCTCTTCAGGAAAGAATTTCAATTGCAAATTTATCTCTGCCTCAGTGCCTCCCCCCCCCCACCAACCTCCCCTCCTCCTTTCTTCTCCAAGCTTCTCCCATCACCTGCCATTTATTATAAACCTTTAACTGCAGCAATTATTTCCCCCTTTTTTCCCTCCTTCCATTTCCCTCCTCAATCTTTCCCCCTCCCTCTCTGAATCTGTGTCCCTTTCTTTGCCCTTTCTACCTTGACCTCCATTTTTACCTCTTTCTAGAGATGGTGTAGAAACAGGTGACGGGCCTAAGAGTCGTCACCCACCCACCACCCCTAGGTCACGAGTCAGTCTCCCTCAGACCACTGCCATCGCTCCTTTTAGTCAGGGCTCCTAAAGGTATCTCCTCTCCCTCAGGGCACACCTTAGCTGCGGTGAGAGGGAGAAAGCCAAGGCAGAGGCCCCTCAAAGATTCTGGCATTCTGGCCCCTGAGGAGGGAAAGAGGAAGATGGTGGGTCAGGTGGAGAGGAAGGTAGGGGCGAGTCTAAAGGAAAGACCCCAGTAGAGTCAAGGGGCCCCAGGCAGAGGGGTTGGGGAGACGGCGCAGGCAGTGGCAGCAGTGTGATTAGAGCAGAGATTGATGCGAAGGGGCACCACAGACGGCAGAGAGAGTCAATAAAACGAGAGGATCACATTAGAGGCGACAGAGAGAGCTTTAAATTACGAGGCTGCTGCCACCGAGGGGGATGGGAGGCAGGCCGGGGCCCAGGGAGGGGGAGAGTTCTGAGGGTGTAGTTGTCCCCTGAGACGAATCTTCCAGCTCCAGAATGGCCCTCCGTCTCCAGAGTGACTGCGCCGCCCCTCATTCCATTCTCCCTCTCACTTCTCTCCAAGGAGAGCAGGAGAGAAAGGGGAACATGAGCAAAAACAAGGTCTGAGAAATGGAAGAGCGGGTTCTTTGAGAGTGCCCTCCTCCTCCTTTCAGACCCGGTCCTCTGGTTACACCCCAGGGCAAGAAGGACGGACAGACGACCACCTTCAAAGCCCAGCTGGGCAGCTGCTGCCCCCACTCAAGCACCACCACCCAATGGCAGGTCTCCACCTTCCAGGTGGGCAGAAAGAAGAATCTCCACTGCCTGACCCAGCAGCCTAAGGGCTCCCTAGTACTTAGAACGGGGAGAAGACAGGCGGCTCCGAGACAAACAGGAGCCAGAAAGCAACCAAGAAAGATGCTTGGATGTGACGGGAACCTGAAAATGCAGGTTCTGAGATCACGCACGAGCCTGAGCACACAGAGACCCAGGGGCCTGAGAACCACGCGGGCCAGCGAGCAGGGAAGGTCTGAGGAAGGAGGCTCCGACTCCTTGGAGTTGGTGGGCCACGGGATCCATTCCATGCTGAAACTGGAGCACAGCCAGACAGGGGAGTTTCCCCTGGGGGGGTACCCAACTAGACCAGGGCCCCTCCCCTCTTGGGCTAGCACCTCTCCCCCACCCCTGGTGGGTCAGGAGCGGGCGAGAAACACTACTGCCGCCTCGTGGTCGTGGAGGGAATATCACTAAGCCGCGACCTGCCTAGCAGGGCGGACGAGCTTTCTCCTCCAGGTTTGCTCCCTTAAAACAAAAACCCGAAACTCCTCTTACTCTTACTCTCTAACCCCAACGACAGGAGAAAAGACTTTCCCCGCAAGGTCTGCCAGAGGCCCCAACATGTTTGCTTAACATTTGCATACACCGATTTCCACCTCAGAGCCTTTCAAATATTTTTGCCTTTAGATTTGCCCATTGTGGTGTCTTTACTTTCCCCTAACTCAAAGCCAATTTTCAGGATCTTTGCTCTTTCCTCGCTGAAAGTCTTGCCTGAGGCACTGCTCTCCCCCACACTCACTTTGCCT